CTCTCTCTCTCTCTCACACACACACACACACACACTCTCTCTCTCTCTCTCTCACACATCATGGACTGAGTGTATGTAAGTCATCAGCCGAACAATAATAAAGACATTCAGGGAAAAATGATAAAACACACATAAATAACTATTTTATCCCGAAAATTTCTCAACATTTAAAAAGAAAAAATCTATTTAATCAAATGCATTTGGCCTTATTAAATCAGGACCTACATTAAAGTAGGTGTCGCTTTAGTCCGTGCAACAGAATGTACAGAATAGTTATATAGTTTCAAAATTGTTATCCTAATGCAGTTTATAAAATGCCAAGTGACTTACCACTTCTAAACCAAAGTCTGCGTTCGGTCCAAACGCATGGGGTCCGCTTGAGGAGCGTCTCTCGGTGGAACAGCTTCTCAGGAGCACGCGCTCCACGCGAGACGCGACGCGACAGAAACGCGACGGCGTCAGAGGGCAGCAGCCAATAGGAGCCGCTGCTCTGTGTGGAGCGTCTTGAGCAGTGTTTGATCAGAGATCAGCTCGACATGAGCCGAGGGTTAATGCTCCTAAACGGTGGGGGGGTCACTGTATAACTGATGTAGGCTTGTGGTTGTTTTCTTTCTTTTTATTCGAAATATTTCCAAACGTGTTAACTATATCAGGAAATATCTCGATTCTCAAATATGTGTAAGTAAATGCGTTTTGCACCTTTATAGATTATGTTATTTGCCTAATAGTGTAATCTAAACTACACATTAAAAAACCCGTACCAGATATGGGTGTCATGCCATAAAATATTTTAATACGACTGACTTTGTATTTAATGTGAATTTAATAACAATATTGTAAGTTACTAATTATAACACTTTTATTTTACAGAGAGCAAAGAACATTTACATCATTAAAGAACATTTTCATTCAGTCTAACCAGAGTTCAGGCACTCTCAAAAACTCCCATTAAAATCACTGAAGCTGTTTACACTGTGAAATTAATATCTCGCTTACATTAGTACACACATGTTGTTTCTGACGAGAGAATTCAGTCAGCAGCAAGTGAACAAAACACCGCGTTCAGCGATGACTCATCGGAACGCCTCTGATTGGTCATTGCATTCATCAGCTCAACAGACTCGTGTGTGATTGGTTATAACGCGCAGCGCTGTACAAACGCGTCTGTCTCTGGCGCAGCGCCAGCAGCGAACACAGATTTGAATTTAGCAGCTGATGCTGTGACGCACTGAACGCTATAATCACAGCAGTGTGATCGTATCAAATATAAAAAATATTATTCGGCTATTTTTTGTCTTTTGGAAGCTGCATTCAAAATCCACTTGGCTCATAAATCTGAGGGGCACGTGAATGACCCGTTCATCTCCGCACCGTTCCTTCTGTCTGCTTTCATCAGTCAGCTAAAACATATCTGTTTCATATGGATTTTGGATAATAGCTATATGTTGTATGTGTGGATGTGCAAATCTACTTGTGGTGTGTAAAGCGACCTCGAGCTGCGGAAAGGCGCTCTATACAGTAATACCAGCGCTTGTTCCTGATGAGGGGCGTGGCGCCATCTTGAGTCCAGAGGCGAGCTGTATACACACACACATATATATATATATATATAACTCATCCTCTGGTCTGAGTATTTGAAGAATCAACATAGAAAGAATTCATCTTTAAAAACATGTCAAAATATTTGAGTATATATTAATTAATTATTATATTATTTATATTATATATTATATTACTTTCATTTATTTATTTATTTTCCTTAGCGTTTATCTTCATG